TATATTGCTGCCTATTCGCCCATGGCGTCTCTTTCTCTCTCTCGCTCCCTTTGTATTCCTATCTCTACCTCCCTTTCTCTCTCTTTCTTGTCTGTCTCTGTCTGTCTCTTTCTCTCCCTATCTCTTCCTTTCTTTCTCTCTCACTCACTTTCTCTTTTCCTCTCTCTCTCTTTCTGTCTTTTTCTCTGTCTTTCTCTTTTTTCTTTTTCTCCCTCTCTCTTTCTGTCTCTTTCTCTTCTTTATTCTCTGTCTTTGTCTCTTTCTCTCCCTCTTTCTCTTCCTTCCTTTCTTTCACTCACTCACTCACTTTCTCTTTTCCTCTCTCCCTTTCTCTCTCTCCTCTTTTTCTCTGTCTCTCTCTTTTTTCTTTATTTCTCTCCCTTTCTTTCTCTCTCTCTTCCTCTTTTTCTCTCTTTTCCTCTCTCCCTTTCTCTCTCTCTCTCTCTGTCTCCCTTCTGGCTTTTCAATTTGTTTTCCATGTTGGTGCAACAATCCTCAGCTGCTCTTCCCCCTCCCCTCCATCTCCCCCACCACCATTCAGGGGTGGGATCCGACAGGGTTAACTACCGGTTCAGTGATTTATGAGCTTTGGTGATTTACGATGTGCTTCCCTGCACACTGCCCACGCTTGCCTGTAAATCGTCATCAGCGTGCTGCGTGCAGAGAAGCAGCCTTTGAAAAAGGACTTTTTTCCTGCTTTTTTAACTTCAGCTGTGCCTCGTGCGACAGCTGAAGTTGAAAAAGCAGGAAATAAAGGTCAGGTAAGAACCCGGGCAGGCAGGTAGACAAAAAGATCAGCAGACATAGAACCGGTTCTATGTCTGCTGCTCTTCAGAGCTACCAGTTCTAGAGAGGTGGACAGAACCAGTAGAAACCCACCCCCGTCACCATCCCTATTGCCGCTCCCCATCCAATCTGCTGACATCAGCCTCTGACTCACAAGCAACCCAGCCCTATAAAAAATCCGCTCTGCTTCTCTTCTCTTCCCTTCTTTTTTTTTTTTAATCAGCTTGGGCGTTGTGCCATCCCTCAACGTGCTCTCCGTGCCCAATTCCCACCACCTCTGCCTGCAGCCAAAATGGGATCGCTTCCATAGCTTGCCTCGAGTGCCTTCCCACGTGTGTGTGCACGCATGCATGGGGATGAGTGCATATGTCTATTTATTTTTTTGCTCTTTTCCCCTCCTTGCCACGGTTCCTCCTTCTCATCCAGGGTTGGAAATGTTTGCAAATGCGGGGTGTGTGAAGTGTGCAACGTGTGAAAAAAAGTGACTCTTCCAGATACACACTTGAGACCGTGGGGTCCTTGGTGCTCTCTGAGCTAGGTGGTTTTCTCGCAGACATTTCACGACCCAACTAGGCAACGTCATCAGTGCTAGAAGGGAGGAGGATTTGCAGAGAAGAGGAGGAGGACTTTGGGGTCCTTGTTGCTTTCTGAGCTGGGTGGTTTTCTCGCAGACATTTCATGACCCGGCTAGGGAACTTCATCAGTGCTCAAACGAAGTGAGGGGTTTTTTTTGGGGGGGGGAGAGGAAGAGGAGGAGGAGGGTCTTGAGTGCTCCCTGATCTTGGTGGTTTTCTTGCAGACATTTCACCAGCTGACTAGGTAATGAACTCATGCACTGATGATATTACCTGGTTTGGTAATGAAACGTGTGCAAGAAAGCAAACCAGCTCAGAGAATCCAAGAACCCTACATTCCCCCCCCTCCACCTCCTTGCAAACCCCACTTTCTTCTAGCACTGATATTACCTAGTTGGGTAGTAAAACGTCTGCAAGAAAACAGCCAAGCTCAGAGAGCACCTAGAATTCTACATTCCTCCTCCTCCTCCCTGCAACCCCCCACTCCCTTCTAGCACTGATGACGTTCCCTAGTTGGGTCACGAAATGTCTGCCAGAAAACGGCCCAGCTCATATCAACCCCCAGTTACAAATATTCTCCTTTATTGGTAGCACCTGGAGCATTTTAGGAAAACCTGCAAACTTTCTTTTTTGGGACTTCCATCTCCAAGGTTGTCTGACATTCTAGGAGAAGACTTATCGTTGGTAGCCAAGAAAATGAAGGAATCACTTTTTTTTTCAACACATATGTTTTAGAAAAAAAGGGAGAAAGCTTTGGTTGAAGCTTTTGAAGTTCGATTTGTTCCTTGGGGTGTTTGCAGGGTGTCCTTCCCCTTGACGTTAGAGCAGTGGTCCCCAAACTTGGCAACTTTAAGACTTGTGGACTTCAACTCCCAGAATTCCTCAGCCAGCAAAGCTAGGAATTCTGGAAGTTGAAGTCCACAAGTCTTAAAGTTGCCAAGTTTGGAGACCACTGTGTTAGAGCTTCATGCTGGGGAAATTGAGTCAATGGTTGAACAATTCACTGGGGTGGGGGTGGGGGGCAACAGGACTACATTTCCCAGGAATCACTGCATGATGCCCAAGAGCGAGGGGGTGTTGGGAGATGTCATTCCATCTTCTTTACCCACTGAGAAGATATTTACAGAGGGCAAAATCCTACTTGTCTGGAGAGCAAAGTATCCCTAGACCGGAGGATCTCCATAGATCCATTGTGACCGTCTGAAAAAAGATCAGCAGGGCCTCCGACCTACAAGGAGAAGGATGCCATGCCCAGATTTTTGGGTGTGTGTGTTGCTTTCACCACCCTGCTGGCAAGCACCAATCTTTGGCACCGAAGCTACCAGCCCTGGGGGTTGCGGGGAGAGAGAATCTTTATATTCTCTGATGGTCCCACATCTGCCTCCTGCCTACCGCCTTGTCTGTCCTCCATGGCAACATCCAGTTTGACTGCAGCATCTCCTCCCATCCTCAAATCTCTGTTCCCTACACCATGGCAGCCACCCTTTCCTCCCCTCCCCCCTGCCTCTCCTCTCTGCTCCATCCTGGCCTGTTTCCATACAAAGCCCCTTTCCGTTTGGATACCCCGTCACTGCCAGGAAATGGATGCTGAGCGTGTGTGTGTATGTGTGTGTGTGAGAGAGACAGAGACACAGATACACTGACGGGGTGGGGGGGAGAGAACACAGCTCCTGGAATGATTGATACCAGATGGTACACCCCGCTCTGTCTTCGCTCACACACGCGCGCACATACCTGCGCGTGCACCCCTGACTTTTCTGGCACATGCAAAATAGGCTGGCTCTTGTAATACCCCCCCTACCCCCGGGCCAGGGAAGAGAGAAGCAAAAGTCAGGAAAAGAGTGGAGGGTACCACCATCTTAGGGAAGGGGCACAGCTTGGATGGACTAAAAACGGTCAGCGCCAACCTTTGGCGTGAGAGGAGCCAGTCCGGGGCTGCATTTTAGGACTGAGTCAAAATTGGACCGGACATAGCGTCCTTCTGCCAACTTAAGGCAGCCAGGAAGGGAATTCCGTGTGCAAAATGGCTTGGGGGGGCGGGGGAGAAGCAAGAACGGAGCAGCCAAATGGCATCTGGCAAAGGAACAAGCGTTTCTCGAGCATGCCGTGCCCTTGGCTGGCCAGGCTTGGAAAAACAACAGGGCCTGTGTCTCACCAACGGGCTTGCCAAAGTTGGCAACTTCCTGTCACTTCTTCTGCTGCTTTCCCGGATTCCAGGAAGCACCATCTCAGGAGCTACTTCTCCCTCCTTCCCAAAAACAGTGTCCCAGCAACCTCAAGTTTGATCCTGCTCTGGGGAAACTTCTCTTGGCCTGCGACCAAAACCATTGAGATGTGGCTTAGCATTCGACCCAACTTTTTGTGTCTCTGGTTTCCTCCAGGGGGCGTGAATTTGCACTGGGGGCCGGTCTTCACTGGGGGGGCGGCACTAGATAGAGTGGTGTTTTTCCCACCTTGGCAACTTTAAAATGGGTGGACTGGACTTCAACTCCCAGAATTCCACAGCCCTCTGATCAGTTTTGCATTTAAATCCAGGGGTCTCCAACCTTGGCAACTTAAAAGCCTGGAGGACTTCAACTCCCATAATTCTCCATTCAACAATGCCTGTTTTTTCTCCTACTCCCTAAAATGGAGATATTGCAGAGGAAGGGATTACAAGACAGTAAGCAGGATTAGAGTTGAAGTCTAACGAAGCTGGCTGGGGAATTCTGGGAGTTGAAGTCCTCCAGGCTTAAAGTTGCCAAGGTTGGAGACCCCTGGTCTAGTTCACATTTAATTGGTTTATTCATTCATCTTGTCAAGCATTATTTTTTTCCCCTTGACCGAAATCAAGATATATTACATCTACCACATTCCTGCTATCTATTTAATTCCTGATTTGAAGGGGAATTCTGAGAGTTGGTCCTCCCATTATAAAGTTGTTGAGATTAAGAAAGGCTGTGATAAAGAGACCAGTGAACTCCAAAATCCAGGCTTCCCGGTGTTTTCTGATGTCACCACATCGTTCTCTCTCCTTTTTGCTGTAGGTCCAAGGCAGCACGATGGCTTCGGTTGTGGAGCTCATGGACAGCAGCCATTCCAGTTCCCTTCTGATCCAGCTGAACGAGCAGCGGCTGCACAGGCAGTTCTGTGACATCACCATCATCGCCGAAGACACCAAGTTCAAGGCCCACAAAAACATCCTCGCGGCCTCCAGCCCCTACTTCAAGGAGGTCCTCTCCGAGGAATCAGCGTCTCACCAGCCACGCCAGATCCTGGAACTTCCCAACATCCAGGCAAAAATCTTCTCGGACATTTTGAACTTCATTTATAACTCTCGACTCTCGGTGCCCAGTCCGGCTGTTGCCAAGGAGATTGGGGCAGTGGGGCGGCGGCTGGGTATCTCCTGCTTGGAGAACCTGGATGGCCCCCTGGTGGAGGTTAAGATGGACCGTCCCAGCATGTCCTCCCCTCAAGGGTGTGACTCCCCCATTGACCTCACCTGCTCTTCCCATTCCACAGAACCCTCCAGCCCTGTTTGCTTGCAGGATTTGACCAAAGTGTACAGCCCTAGGCAGGACCCCCGCCCTGACTCTGAAACCGAAATGGCCAAGATCCTCTACAACCTGAACTCCATCGTGGCTGTACCGCTGCCCACTGCCTCCGATCTGACCTTGCTGAAGGAAAATGTCAGTTGGGACCCCAACCTCTCCAGGACTCCTGCCTCTTCTGTCAACCCAAACAACGGGGTGCCGGTGTCCGCCTCTTCTTCCTCCTCCCCCTCGTCCCCCTCTGGGGCTTCCTTCCCAGTCAGCAGCACCTTCTGCTGTGGGAGCTGCAACCGGACCTTTGCGACATCCTCGGCCCTCAGCCTCCATGCGAAGCTCCACCGGACGCGGCGTTGGCTCTCCTGCCGCCACTGCGGCAAAAGTTTCATCCACATCAAGCAGCTGCAGATGCACGAAGTCTTGTGCAAGGAGGGGGAGAAACCGAAAGTGGGGGACCCCACCGACAAGGCACCCGCCAGCCCGGAGTTACCTTCCAAGCCGACGGTAGCAGCAGCCTCTTCCAAAAAGGGGATGGTTTTCTGCCACCGGGGCCCACCGCGCGTGGATTATCTGTCCAACCAAGACCATTACATCAAAGTGGTAGACGGGCACATCATCTACTTCTGCACCATCTGCGAGCGGTCATACATGACCCTCTCCAGCCTCAAGCGTCACTCCAATGTCCATTCTTGGCGCCGCAAGTACCCATGCCGTTACTGCGACAAAGTGTTCGCCCTGGCCGAGTACCGCACCAAGCATGAGGTCTGGCACACCGGGGAACGTCGCTACCAGTGCATCTTCTGCTGGGAAACCTTTGTGACTTACTACAACATGAAGACTCATCAGAAAGCCTTCCACGGCATCAATCCTGGCCTCATCTCCTCAGAGAAGACCCCCAATGGGGGTTACAAGCCTAAACTGAACGCGTTGAAACTCTACCGCCTCTTGCCCATGCGCTCCCAGAAGAGGCCGTATAAAACATACAGCCAGGCAGTGGCGCCCAAGGACCTTCTGCACCCAACACGCACCGTCCCCATGACCCTGGGGGAGGGTGACCCCTTGGATGGAAACTTGGTCTCCTCCTTGAGTGCCAGTGACGTGGCCTCTGTGTTCACCACCACAAACGCCTCTTTAGAATTGCCCGAGGTCGAACGCGCCCACCAGCAGGAAACCACAAGCACTGAGGAGACGTCTGTCTTTCTGATTCCTGGTGAGGAGGGCCAGCTGGACAAGCCGCCCCGGTCTTTGAGCACAGAGGCGCCCACCATCATTGCCTATGGGCACCCCACCTCTTCTGTGATCGTTCATAGCACCTCGGTGAAAGCCCAGGCTCCTTCCGTGATCACATACAACAGCACATCTGATGCCCCGTTGAACGTGGGGACTCCGCCGTCGCTGTTCCAGTTGGAGTCCCCTTCTCCAGCTGTAACTAAACCCATTAAGAAGCAGTCACAGAAGATAGAGGAGCAGGCTTTGGAAGAGGACGGCAGCGAGCAGGGGTTCAAGGCAAGACGACCACGGACTGGGCGCACCATGACTTACATGGCTAAACCGGCCTGTGTGGGAGCCACCTCCAAAAGCCAAGCGGCTCCACTCTGCCAGATCACAGTCCGCATCGGTGAGGAAGCCATTGTCAAGCAGCGGATCTCCGAAACCGACCTCATGCTCGACAAGAGCAGCCAGGTGGGAGGCAGGTGCCTGGATTTCAGCCGGGATCCGAGCAGCGAGAAACTACATCACTCCCTCCTGTCTCTGACACTCCACACCAAGCGGGCCAAGAGGGTGTTTGCGAACAAGAGCGGCGAGGAAGACAGTGACCGTGGAGACACAGAAGACCAACTCTGGCGCCCCTACTACAGCTACAAACCCAAACCGAAGCCCGGTGGTGTTGGCAACGCCCTGCCGAAGGCGAAGAAGTCACGGTGGCTGCACAGGCTGCGTTCCCTGCGCTGGATGAAGTGGTCGGAGGAAAGCAAGGAGGAGAGCCGAGTGGGACCTCACCATCCAGGGTCTGTTAAAGTATCCAGGGGACAGGGCGCTGACTCTGACCGGTATGAGATGGACCGGCCGGTCAAAGTGGGGGGCAGGCGGGGCGGTGAATGGAAGCATGAGTGTAGCATTTGCAGCAAACTCTTCTCGGCCCTCAAGAAACTGAAGAAGCATGAACGGGTCCATACCCGCCTCGCCAACGATGACCAGGCCCTGGCGATCTTGATGGCTGCCCCTCACCGGGTGGGCCGCAAGCCTCTGGTGAAGTTTGCCTGTGCCCACTGCACAAAGGTCTGCAAGACTGCAGCGGCCCTGAGCCGCCACATGAAACGACATGAGGGCCAAGAGGAGGTCCCCCTGCCGGTGCTTACCACGGTCACTGCTTACTCCAAGAAGACCCCCGAGGTGCCCCTGCTCACCCCTTCCCCAGTGGTCAAGGAAGAGACCACCCAGGAGATGCAAGTGTCGTCTTCCAGCGGGGAGGTGCCTGGAGGCCAGCCAGAGGTCCCCAAGGAGGGCTGTGCAGAAATGGTGCCCTACAACAGGCACACCCCTCGGCCTGAAGATGAAAACCTGTTGCCGCCAGGGGATGTCAAGTCCCCTTTCCACAAGGAGCTGCCTGCCTGCTCGCCACCACTACAGGCCACCATGACCACCACTAGCCTTGCCGACCTGCTGCCAGATCTGCCCTACTCTCTTAAGGACCCCATCATCTCTCACACCGGCCTGGTCCAGAAAGAGATCCTGGCATCCCAGGAGATGGAAAGCAACCGATACCCAGTCCAGGAGTACCCCTTACCCCTGCTGGTGCCCGGGAGTTGCCGGAGCAGGAAGGAGGTGGAAGACAAGGCCTCGTTCCTGGCTTACCCCAGCGCCATCCAGTTCAGTGCCATCAGCAAGGCCGGGAGCAGTGGTGGCGATGGCAAAGTCAGCTTCTACCCTGAGCCGTACCCGCTGATGTACGGGCACCAGCTGCTGGCCACCTACCCCTACAATTTCACCCTGCCAGTGGCTTTGAACATGGTCATTCCAGATGACAAGGGCCAGCCCTTGCCCTTCCTGTCCAACGTCTTCAGCTATTCCATGTACCCTTGCCAGGGTGTGTTGGGGCACAAGGGCCCCACCACCACCCACGGGGGCCTGGGGATGGGCAGCTTGGCTCACGAGAGCCGAGGAGACCCGGCGGGGCCCGATAGGCTGAAGAAAGGCGGGCTCCTTTGAAGGACAGGGCAGGAAAGGGTCACCCGGATTAAGGGGCATGGAAGAAAGGCAAGGCAGAGGAGTGGCCAGTCTCTGCCCCTCTTCGGTTCTGAGAAGGGAGAGGGCATGCTTAGGAGAACCGTTGTGGGGGTGGGTGGGTGAGTGCGGAGGGGGCCCCCCTAAATTGGGGGCAGCTAGAAGAGAAACACCCCCACCCCCTTCCTATCAGTGGCATTTCACATGGGGCACGTGTCATAGAGAAGACTTCTTTAAACAAAAATAGCAAATATAGGTACAGGGTACCCTCTTCCCTCCCACCCACGCCTGGTTCCTAACCCTCCCCACCCCCTTATGAATGTTGTTTGTAGACACAAATAAGAGTGAATTTGCACAAGGAACCGCTCTTCACCCCTCTGACTCACCGCCTCCCCCTCCACCGCCCTTGGTCCCCAGGGTAATTTTTCTTGGCTCCTCACCCCTTCTCACCCCCTTCTGTACTTTTGCTGCTGAGGGGTGGGGTGGGGTGGAGTGGGGATCAGACTAGTTGAAAAGAAGTAGCCTCTTTAATGTAGCTCTTCCCCCCTGCTGTTGGGGGCACCTGCAGACCCTTCCCCCCCTTCCTCCTTTCCACAAACCCTCTGAGGACCCTTCCTCTTCCTCTCTCCCCTGCTGTTGGCTTCTCCTTCCCTTAGCAGACCCTGCTCCCTTCCTCACCCCTCTGCTCTTGGGGTGTCCCCTCTGCAGATCCTTCCTTTCCCCTCCACTGTTGGGGGTAGAGGGTCTGCAGACCTCTCCCCTGCCTCTACATCCTGCTGTTGGGGTATCTGCAGACCCTCCCTCTTCCCCTGTTGGGGGGGTCTCCTCTACAGACCTTTCCCGCCTGGTATTGGGGTGGCCTTCCTCTGCAAACCCTCTCTTTTCCTCTCCCCCTCCCCACTTATTGGGGGTGGCCTTCCTCTCCCTTTATTCTCTTCCCCTGCTCTTCCTTCGGCCCAGCCTGACTCCTCCACTTGCTGTTCACTACACAGCAGCTGGCTGAGTGGCGTGCCTGTGTGGGGCGGTGTGTGTGTGTTGTGCATGCGATTTGTTTTCCAACTGGCTGAATGTGATGAATCACATTTTCATTTTGGGCAGAGGAAGACAGCCATGGGATGTGGGAAGGGGGGCGTGTTGCGGTGTGCAAGCCAGCCAGAGAGGAACGGAATGGTGGAAGGACCGACTGAGTTGCATCGCACCACACCGTCCCCCAGCCAGGACCACGTTGGGGGACCCCGCCGGAGGGAGGGTATCCTTAAATTTGGGTGCCCAGCAGCAAAAAACCCTCCTCTCCTCCCCCTCCCCAACACCCCCTTCCTTCCCCCAACCCACCCACCCCCCAGTATAAACGACCAAGGATCAGCAATAGGTAATTTCAGCTATACATGTACAAGTGTTCTCTTTTTTCTTTTTTCAAAGTAGCGTTACGGGTTTTGTTTTTTTTTTTCAAAATGGGTGGCCTGGTTTCAAACAATAATAACTTAATGGGGCAGATCTCCCTGAGGAAAAACCTGCAAAATGTGGTGTGTGGGGTGCTGGAACTGTGGGTCCCAAGCAGGAGAAAGAGAGGGCCAGATAAAGTGGACCAACAAAGTGTGCGTCGCGAAAAATTCGAGACTCAAATCTCCCCCAAAATGAGGAACCCCCTTCCTTTTCTTTCCTTGCTAGCCCCTCCCCTCAAAAAATATTGGGGGGGGGGGAGAACGTCAGCCTCTGTATTGCATTCCAGGAAAAAGGAAAAAAAATAAGGAAGCAAAGGAAAGCTGCACAATTTGGGGGGAAACGAGGAAAAAATTATTATTTTTTAACGGGCAAAACAAGCGGCTTTTTCCTGTTTGAAAGCCAAACGGTTAGGCCAGGTTAAATTTTTCCAAGTCTTCCTTCCTCCCCGATTCCAAACAAAACATGCTCTCTCACACAGACACACACCCCTTCCCCGATTTCAATCGGGGAGGGTTTTCCCCAAAAGGACCCCCCCCCCCCCAAAATGGCACATTTTGATTTTGTGATTACTTTTGGAAGGAAGAATCACACACAGCGTTCTGAGATTCAACGCTCCCCGGTTTATTCTCCCTGTAAATTTTTTATTTTAGATCCATTCCCCCACCTTTTTTTTCATTTTTAGGAAGATGGCAGAGGGGAGTATCCAGAATGTTGCCAAAGGCCCCGGCTGCCTGGTGATGTATGGGAGTTGTAGGCCCAAACCTGGCCTAAAATGCCTTACCTCTGTTTGTGGCGGAATCACCATCTTCCAAATTTAACTTCTTTGTGTGCTCTCTCCCCTGCCTGCCCCCACTGCGGGCAAGTGTTTGGATGACACCCCCCCCATTTTTTTTTTGGATCTGCCATTGCCTCCCCAGCATTGCAGGCGTCGCAATGTACATTCCCATTGTTTGTGGAATGACACTACCTGCGTCGTCGTTCTTTCCAACCCTGTGAAAGTTTCCCCAAGCTAAGCCTGCAAGGTGGCCCTGCCACTCTTCATTGGAGAGGGGAAACCCTTCCAGATAAACCAGTCCCACCCCCCACCCCCCCACAAGCACCTTTGGTTGTGATTCACCAGTCCGCTGCGGAGTTCCCTGGACAGTACACTGTAGAATTCCCAGTGTAGAATCAAGCAGGGGAGTTGAGGTTCAGACCCTGTTCCACCTACAGAATTGGGAACCAAGGTGCTGGGGGCTGGGTCACACCAGCCCTCCCCCGCTTCTGCACAGGGACTGGCTCCAGGGACCTCGTAGACATGTGGGGAAAAAAAACCCATGCGAGAGATGATACCGTTTCCCTGACACTGCACTCTTTTGCCACACTCTGGCATGGCAGAATTGGTGTGCACAGGCAGAGGACATGCAACACGGCCCTCCCTGCTTTGCACCACACCACACCATGCACATTTCTGAACATCCTTTCCCTCCCACCCCACCCCCCAAACACTGAGCCCCCCGGCTTTTTCCCCCGGTTTTGTCTTCCCTCCTCCCCCCCCCCCCATCGCCTGCCTTGCCAGCCCTTCATGCTTCCGACATCTGATGCATTCCGTGGTTGACAGCAGGCTGCGCTGGGCTGCAGCAGGATTTTTCTCACACACATTTTCCATTCGGCAGGCACACAGCTCCTTCTGCACTCCGCCCCTTCCCCCTGCTACCCAGAGCTGGCATTCTGGAACAAGTTAGGGTACTACTTGCCCTCCAAACTTCTGGGATTTTTTTTAATTCTGGGATTGGGGGGAGTCTTGTCCGGGGCCTAACGCTCGCTATCAGGCCTGGCGTGCAAAGGCCCTCCCACTAGCTAGGCTGCAGCACACACTGCTGTTCTGCACGAGGGGGCAGGGGTCTTCCCCCTAACCCAGGGGTCGGCAACCTGCAGCTCTGGAGCCACAGCTGCTGCTCTGCTGTTTATGCTTCTTTGGCTTCTTCTCCTCCTTCTGGGCCCTCTGCTGCAGCTCCCTGTCGGCTGATCCCACCACTGGCTGGCCCCTCCCCGTCCCCCCTCACCTGGCCTGAGAAGGTAAGGGTGATGGTGGGGGATATGGAGACTGCTCCATATTCCAGAGCAGGAGGTGACCGGGTGGGAGTGAGTCACACCGGTGGTTAAATTATAGGCTCCCGGTGTTTTCGGTGGGGAAACTGGTCCAAATGGCTTTTTGAGTGTTTTAAGATTGCAGACCCCCCTGCCCTAACTGGACCCCAGTGGGTTTTTTGAGTGGGGAGGGGGGCAGCCTGCATTTCCAGCAGCGCACCCCTTGATTGCATCCAGAGATGGGAGGGCAAGGGAGACTGGGCCAGGCAGAGCGAAAACATGCGTCCAAAGTATATTTTGGGTGGTTTCCTCCCCATCCCACACCGCCAAAGCAGGAGGCTCTGGGTTCTTTGGGGGGGCGGGGGAAGTCACTGACATGTACATAGTTGACAATCTTTTGCACTTTTTCACGGGGGGTGGGGGTCGGGAGTGCTCTGGTGATTGTTGACCGTTTGCTACTGAATGTAACTCGTCTTTATTTTTATTTTTTTAGAAAAACACCTCTAGCTAGTTTTTATGACACTTCAGATATTTACTGAAACCTGTTTAAGGAAACTACAGAAAAGCAAAAAATATTAGAATATAAAAGAGACAGAAAGAGAGAGGCAAACAATAGCAGGAGAGAGAGAGAGAGAGAGAAAGCAGGAAAAGACAGTTGTTTCAAAATCACATCAGTCATTAGTCATGAGGAGAAATCACTGCTGCTTTTTTCCCGGTCTCCGTTCCAAAAAATTGTGACAAGTGTGAGGAAATTCTGTTTTGACAATTACTGTATTTATCTTTCTGCATCTTTGTGTGTAACTGCAATAACTTCTTCAGAATAAAATGACAATTATAACGTTGATGGTGGCATACCCCTCGGAAGTGCACCCAAAGCACACCCGCTGGTTTTTTTTCTGCATTAGCAACAATCCTGGGCTGGGAGACAAAAAGAGACAGAATTATTTTTTGGGGGGGGGGGGCTACTACCACAAACCCACGGGCTGCAGAGAGGGGTTCATGGAAAGGAGTGGGGGGGAGGAGGAAGAGGAGGATGATAAAGGCTGTGCAGTCCTTGGTGCGCTCTGAGCTTGGTGGTTTTGGTGCAGAGGTTTTGTGACCCAATTAGAGAACAGCATCAGGGCTGGTTAACCCCACTTCCTTCTAGCACTGATGATGATCCTTAGTTGGGTCATGAAACGTCTGCAACAAAACCACCCAGCTCAGAGACCACCAAGGACCCCACCATTCTCCTCCTCCTCTCCACAAACCTTCCCTTCTAGCACTGTTGATGTTCCCTAGTTGGGTCATGAAACGTCTGGGAGAAAACCACCCAGCTCAGAGAGCACCAAGGACTCCTTAATACAAAACAGAATTACAGCCTCATCCTGCTACCTTACCCATTTGCAAAGTCTTCCATCTCTAGAACCGCAAACCCAATTCATCAACAAATCCAAAGTCAAGAGTTCATTTTTCTCTCACTGTTCTTAAATTGTTATGTTGGGGGGGGGAAGCTGCAGGGGAGAGGCCTTAAGTTACCCCCACCTCCCCTTAATGTCCCAAGATGCTGCTTTGGCCTCATTTGACTTGGCCCGGTGAGTCTCCAAAGAAAAAAAACCACACAGCCCTCTAGTAAACCTGTTTGTATTTGAGGGAGGGCCTTTCCAATTGCAAGAAAAGAGCCCCCTCCCCAGATGCTGGCCACTCAGCTCTCTGTACCCCGAAGGGGAATAATCTTGGGAGGTTCCACTTTTATGAGTGAAAAGGGGGATCTGGGACTTGCAGCCAGACCAGTTGCAAATCAAATTAAAAGGGATTGGTGTGAATCTCCACTTTGTACATTTAGGGGTAGGATTAAAGGATGTGGGGCTGCAGACAGCACACACACACACACACCTGAAACCTGGCCAAGAACCAGGGGTCTGATAGTCCTTTCTCCAAGAAATCCCATTTTATTCAAAGGCTTTACACCAATGTTTCTCAACCTTGGAACTGGAAGAGGAGTGGACTTCAACTCCCAGAATTCCCCCAGACAGCACAGAATTTTGGGAATTGAAGTCCACCCCTCTTCCCAATCAGAATAGAGTGGGGACGGGACCTTGAAGGTCGTCTAGTCCAGCCCTCTGCTCAAGCAGGAAATGATGCCATTTCAGACATATGCAATGAGAATAGAGCTGGACGGACCTTAGAGGTCTTCTAGTCCAACCCCCTGCTCAAGCAGGAGACCCTATACAGTTTTAGACAAGTGGCAATCCATTCTCTTCTTAAAAACTTCCAGATGATGAACAACTTCCGGAGGCAAGCTGTTCCACTGGTTAATTGTCCTCACTGTTAAAAAGTTTCTCCTTAATTCCAGGCTGCTTCTCTCCTTGATTAGTTCCATTGTTTCTTGTCCTGCCTTCAGGGGCTTTGGAGAATAGCTTGACTCCCTCTTCTTTGGGGCAGACCCTCAAATACTGGAATACTCCTATCATGTCCCCCCTACTCCTTTTCTCAAATCCTGCCACCATTCCTTCGTATGTTTTAGTCTCGGGGCCGTTCTTCCTCTTAGTTGCTCTTTTCTGCACTTTTCGCAAAAAGTCTGAACATCTGTTTTGGAACGTGGTGAGCAAAAATCGACCCAATATTCCAGTTCTGGCCTTACTAAGGCTTTACACAGCAGTAGTAATCCTTCACATGATTTTGATCCTCTGCCTCTGTTTATACAACCAGAGGATCGCATTAGCTTTTTTTGGCTGCTGCCACACACGGCTGACTCCCGTTTAAGTCATCGTCCACTAGGACTCCAAAGTCCATCTCCCAGTTAACCATTTCTGAGACAGGTTTCCAGCTGCTAAGGTTGAGTAACACTGCCATTCCTACAACACCTGCCAAGAAACCTAGCCTTAAATATCCCCCTCTCCCCTCCCTACCAGGTCGGGGTTTTAGTGCACTTGCCCCCCCATCTTTCAACCCACAACAGCTGGATCTTTGTCCTCCCCTCTAATCTTCCGGGTGTTGCAACCATGAGTAAACAAGCCATTGGCCTCTCGGCTGACCATCGTTTCACCCCCTCCAAGCGCGACACAGGTACGCATTACTCTCCCAACAGTAAAGTTGTGTGTGTGTGTGCCTTACAGGTTGCTGATGTGTTATGCAGCAAACTTATCTGGACTTTTTTAAAAAAATACAAACTTATATTTTAAAAACTTCAATGATCGCTCATCTGGATTGCAACCACTTTGGCTCACATCTTGTTGGAAAGTGTAGGTAACTTTCTAGAGTGGAAGAGAGTTGCAGTGTGCTACACACCGCAGAGGGCAGGGGTGTTGCCAAGAAAACGCCTCACCTCCTATGCATCCCAAGATGGCATCATTTAACGGAAAGGGCAGCCCCCCCCCCATTCTTCTAGGCTAGGGATCTCCAAACATGGCACCGTTTTAAGACTTGTGGACTTCAACTCCCAGAAGTCCCCGGCAGGAAAGGCAATTTCCCAGAATTCAGCATGGATAGGATAAGAACTGTAGCTAGACTACCTTTATCACATTTTTAAAAAACATTTAATAGATGGTGGGAATGCAGTAGACGTAATATATCTTGAAGTCAGGGAAGTGGGGTGGGGGGAAGAACTGGATGGGGTATTCTGGGAGTTGAAGTCCTCATGTCTTAAAGAGATCAGTTTGGCGACCCCCCAATATATAGAATCTTTTAATGCCACTGAGATGCCCCCTCAGCCCCCTAAGTGTCCGTGGGGCGAAACATTAGATGCAACTAGCATCAGACCTAGGTTGGCTTTAGATGTTGGCTTAGGATCCTACCGGCAATATTTTACTGTGTGTGTGTGTGTGTGTGTGTGTCTTTGAACATGGCGACTTTGAAGGCTTGTGGGACTTCAACTCCCAGAATTTCCCAGCCAGGCAAGGTAATTTCCCAGAATTCAGCACGGATAGGACAAGAACAAAAGGGGCTAGATTATCTTTTATCACATTTTTTGAAAACATTTAATAAATGGTGGGAATGCAGTAGATGTATCTTGAGTCCAGGGAAAGGGGGGGGGGAGAACTGGCTGGGGAATTCTGGGAGTTGAAGTCCACAGGTCTAAAAACGATCGAGTTTGGAGACCCCCGATGTATAGAATCTAGTAGATCATTGGAAAATGGCATCCTTCGGCACTGTTTTTTCCTAGATGGTTTTAATTAACAGGATCTCCAATCTTGGCCACTTCGAAGACTTGTGGACTTCAACTCCCAGAATTCCCCAGCAGGCAAAGTTTTCCCAGAATTCAGCACAGGTAGGACAAGAACAAAAGGCGGCTAGACTGCGTTTATTGCACATTTTGGATAAGTGTAAGTTTCTTAATAGAGGGTGGGTATGCGGTAAACATAATATATCTTGCTATTCAGGAAAGTGAGGAAAAAATCTAAAAAGAACCAGTTGGGGAATTCTGGGAGTTGGAAGTCCACAAGTTTTAAAGTTGTCAAGTTTGGAGATTTGTGAGATAACAACCCCTTGCCAACCCAACTTTGTGCTGCTCACAAAGCAGAGATGTTGCCAAGTTGGCACACCAATATCTTGGGGGCCACGCAGGGCGCACTGCAACACTATGAAGAACGGACAACTGCACAAAGGGACTCTTGGCCGCACCTGAGTTTCAGCATTGTTTCTGCAGTAGAGGCAGTCCTTGACTTATGACCATTCATTGAGTGGCCATTCAGACGAGTGGTGTGGTGGCCTAGAAGCAGAGCTCTCACCTCACGATCAGGAGGCCGTGAGTTCAGTCCTAGGTAGAGGCAGATATTTCTCTCTCTGGGCACAATGAGAATATATCTGCCAAACAAAAAACTTTGCATCGGCAACAGGAAGAGCATTCAGCCAGTAAAACACTCTGCTAGCTCCATTCAGTTGCCCAAACTCCACCCTGCAAGGGATTATGGTGATGATTGAGTGGCTGTTCAGAATTCCATAAGCACTGAAAAAAGTGGCTTAGCATCATTTTTCACACTTACGACCGTTGCAGTAGTGGTCTCAATTCAGACGCTTGGGAACTGACTCAGATTTACGACGGTTGCAGTGTCCCAGGGTCACAGAAGACACCTAATCGCCAAGAGCTTTGAATCCGGGTCTTAAGTAGCCCCAAGGAAGGTCTGCTGTAATTTTTGCACGGCATCTTAAGTGACGGGTCGTAAGTCGAGGGGATTTGGGGAGGGGTGTCAGAAATGGCGGGTTAGGGTTAGGGATGCGGGGAGGAAGGATGTGGCAGTGGGCAATGGGGAAAAATGAAGCCAGGAAGTTTGCTGACGCAGAATGGCGAAAAGGGTGTGTGTGCTTTTTTCATCCCCTCCGGTGGGTATCCTGGGGGGGGGGTTCCCGATCCATGTGCCCACCCCCCACCCCCCTCAAGGAAGAGGAGAATTGGGCCCTCCCTGGCAAGACGAGGCCGCCCTTCCCGAAAAGCTGTGCCTGTCTGTTGCCAACCACTTGCACAACATCTGCACAACAGCCAAAGACCAGTGGGGGGGAGGGAAAAGGGGGGAAGACTTCCTGCTTTTCCTCCTTAATTGGTGAGGAGGGATTTCTCCCAGCCGCTTCCCACAAGGCCGCTTGAGATTAGAGACCCACCATCCCGTTCCTTCCCCCGCCCCACCAAACCCTGGGCGGGGTTTAAACCGTTCACCGGCATTGTTTGAGAACAGTGTTTGGGGAATTAACCAAAAATAAAAAAATTACAGGCAATCCTCAACTTTACGACAGTTTGTTGAGTGACTTACAACCATTTCTCACACTTATGACCATGGTGGTGTTTCCCCAGGGTGTTGTGGGAACTTCATCTGTTTTCAAGAAGAAGAGGTTGGACTACCATCTATCTGTCAGAAACGGTGTAGGTAGGGTCTCCTGCTTGGGTGGGAGTGGGGGGTTGGACTAGATGACCTCCAAGGTCCCTCCCAGCTCTGTCAATCGATGCTGAGCAACTAATTCATATTTAATGACGGCAGCTTTCCCGTGTGTGTGTGTGTGTGTGTGACGGGATCTCCTTTTTTGTGACTGTCCGGACAAGCAGCGTCCACACAGGCGAGCCGGATCCGCTGAACATCCGCCCTTACCCGCTTAATGATGGTGGCGATTCACTTGAACGACCATGGTGAAAAAAAGGTTGTCAAAACAGAAATGTTGGTCGTAAGTCGAGTCAAACCTGGTGGGGAAGAAAAACATGGGGGTGGTTTTCCATGGGCAAAGGTGGTTGTGGGGGGGTTGCCTGCAGCCTGGCCAGACTTGGGGTGGGGGGTGAGAGGGAGCAAAGTCTGCCCCTGGCCATCTCTGTCTTGCTGGGGGGGAGGGGGCTTGAACCCTGGACAGTTTATGTCAACAGCATCTGAAAATTTGGAATTTGACCCTGGCCGCTTCCAGTCCCGTGTTGAGAGTTTCTCCACCAACCCAGCCATGTTCCCAGCTGCTGCCTGGCTGGTTTTGCTGGTGGCCCCTGCCCTCGCCTGGGCCACGGGGGACCAGATCCAGGAGACAGCGGAGGGGGACGTTTCGAAGGTGAGTCAGGCCAGCCTAATTCTCCCTTATTGGATTGCCTGAGGAGCTCAGGATGCAAAATTTCAGAATGGGAAGGGGAGCATTCCAGAGGTCTTCTAATCCAGCCCCCTCCCCTGTTTGCACAGGAGACCCTATGTCATTACAGGTTTGGGGTGGGGGAGAAGCTTCAGGCTTGGGGGTTGCTTTTGGTGGTAGAAAAGCTTTGCGTGATCCAGTTTGTACCAGATCTTGGTCCTCGTTGTTCTCGGCACAGCTTTAATGGGCTTTAAGTCCCCATTTGTGCCTGCAAAAGAGCTCTAGTTGGTTTTAGAAGCAGACAGCTACTCGTATGACCAAGATACGGTCTCCTGCTGAAGCTAGAAAAGGGGGGTGGACTAGAAGACGTCCGAGGTACCTTCCAACTCTGTTCTGTTAGTGGAACAGTTTGCTTCCAGAAGTTGTGGGGGCTCCATCACTGGAGGTTTTTAAAAGATTGGATGGCCATTTGTCTGATATGGTACAGGTCTCCTGTTTGGGCGGGGGAGGTGGACTAGAAGACCTCCAGGGTCCCATCCAACTCTTGTTCTTCTCCGGCTTTGCCTTCTCTTCTGGCATGGCACCCAGCCACTCGGCAGGCCTAAAAACAGTTTGACCTGTTGAATGAAGTTCAGGGTCCCGCCGCTGCGCAGGGTCCAGCCACCCGGGACTTTCTGAAGGAGGGGCGCGTGCCCGAGTCCCCCTTGCACACGCGCCCGCCTCCCGTGGGTGGGTGGGGAGGGGGGTAGACTACTAGAGGCTGATTCGGAGACGACTCCGCGGTTGCAAAGAAAAGAAAAGGGAGCCAGCGAGTCCTCCACCCGGGTTTGGGAGGGAGTGGGTGATGGGGAGGTCATCCAGTCATTCCCCATGCCTTGGCGACCCCCCTCGGGTGGGCGTGGAAATTGCGGGCTTTCCCCGCCCGCGAAGGAACGAATGCAAGGAAGCACTGCTCCCTTTCCCCGCGTGGCTCAAAACATCTTCCCAGGGGTGATTTTCCTCCCACCCACCCCCTAGCGGCTCGCTCGGGTACTGCGAGTGGGGTTTTGCTGCTGCCCCGTGACGGCCGGCCGAGGCTGATGCCGGGGTCCTTTCCTTTCTCCTCCTCTCCAGCTGGGCGCCTGTTTCCGAGGCTCGTCTGTGGAAGCTGGGGGGCTGAATTTGGGGCAGAGGTGGGGAGACCCCACACCAACCGCCTCGCTGCTCATTGACTTGCGGACGGTAACCAGGTAAGGAAGGGGAGGCGGGGGGGGCTTAGGGGCTTCCTTCCCTTCCCCCCCCTTCCAGGAGTCACGCAAGGACTTGCTAGGATGCCGTGCAAGGCTACCAACCCAAGCTCGCGAGGCGAAAGGACAAGAGTTGGTGCCAGGGTCTCCGATGGGGGTCTCAGAGCAGCTGGGGGGAAGGGTCTCTAGGAGGGGTTGAAGAAGCCCCGCAGGAGAGAAGGGGTGCGGCAGGGGATGATGGGTTCTTTAGCATAGCGGGGGGGGGGGGAGAGAAAATTGAAAATGGGACAAAGGAAGGGAGAGAGAAAAAAGGAAGGGAGGCACAGAGAAAAAGAGAGGAAGAAAAAAGGTAATGAAAAGGAGAGGGAGAGAGAAAGAAAGGGAAAGGGAGGGAGAGAAAGAGAAAAAAGAGGGAAAGAAAGGGAGAGAGAATGGAGAGAAAGGGAGGGAGAAAAAAGAACGGGAGGAAGAGGAAGAGAAAAGGGGAGGGAACAAAAGAGAAAGGGAGGGTGAGAGAGATTGAAAGAATAAGAGAGAAAAAGGAAGGGAGGGAAGAAAGGAGAGAGAAAAAGAGGGAGAGAGAAAGTGAGGGAGAGATAAAAAGAAAGGAAGGAAGGGAAATGAGAGAAAAAGAAAAGGAGGGAACAAAAGAGAAAGGGAGGGGAAGAGAGAGAGAGACAGAAAGAAGAGAGAAAGGGAAAGGAAAGAAGGGAGAGGAAGAGAAAAAGTGAGAGGGAAAGAGAAAGAAAGGGAGGGAGATAAAAAGAAAGGGAGGAAGGGAAAAAGAGAAAAAGGGGGGGACTGAAAGAGAGAAAGGGGAAGGAAGGGAGAGAGAAAGAGAGAAAGAAAAGAAGAGAAAGGGAAAGAGAGGGAGAGAAAGAAACGGAGAGGGAAAATGCTAGAATGGGGAATATAATGGTCAGATGAAGTGGAGCCTGAGATAAAGGGAACCTGAGTCTGGCCCAGAACTACAAAAAAAAAGAAAGCGCCTTTCAGGCGACACCCTCCCTAGTATTTCCCAAATACAAGGAGGAGCACATTCAGACATACATGCAAGATGCTGTTGCAATCACCTTACATGTTGCCTTTGCATGCAGCACTTTGCTTTCCAGGTCTGGTCTACCTTTAGGAGTTTGAGTGTGTGTGTGTGTGTGTGTGAGAGAGAGAGAGAGAGAGAGAGAGAGGGAGGGAGGTGGGGGAGGGAGGGAGGGAGAGAGAGAAAGAAAGAAAAAGAGAAAAAGAGAGAGAAAAATAAAGATAGAGACAGAAAGAAAGGAGAGAAAGAGACAGAGAGAAAGAGAAAAATAGACAGACAGAGAGAAAAAGAGAGCGAGAGACAGAAAGAAGAGAAAGGAGTGAAAGACAGAAAGAGAGAGAAAAGAGAAAGAGAGAGAAAAAGAGACAAAGAAGAGAGAAAGAGAAAGGAGACAGAAAGAGAAAAAAGAGAAAGTCAGAAAGAAAAAGGAGAAAGGGAGAGAAAGAAAAAGTGAAAAAGAATGATAGAGAAAAAGAAAAAAATGATAGAAAAAGAAAAGAAGAGAGAGAGAGAGAGGGAGGTGTGGAAGAGAAATCACAGATGGCAACCGCCCTCGCCTCCCGCCACAGCTGTGCCATGTCTTCCCCATCCAGGAGGGGTCTGCAGCAAGACCACCCCACTGATTCCCCCCCCCGAGACCCTCCCTGTTCCTCCCCACCCAGTGCAGCGTCCTCCTTCGACTTCCGGACCTTCGATCCGGAAGGGGTGATCTTCTACGGGGACACCAGCCCCAGCATCGACTGGTTCGTCCTCGCTTTGCGTCAGGGGAAACCGATCATGCAGATCCATAACACCCTCACCAACATCACCGTCTCCGGGGGGCGGCACCTCGATGATGGCCAGTGGCATCGGGTAAGACAGGGTGGTGGAGGATGGCTGGACGACATGCGGTCCTCGACTTATGACCACCATCGAGACCAGAATTGCCATCATTAAGTGAGGAAGGTTGTTGAGTGAGGTGGTGCCTCATTTTTTTGCTGCCATCATTGAGCGAATCGCCGCCATTGTTAAGTGAATCGTGTGGCCATTAAACGGATCCATTGACTTTGCTTGTCGCAAAAGGGGATCAACATGACCCCCAGGACATGGTGACTGTCATAAATGTGTGGCAGTTGCCGAGTGTCTGAATTTTGATCGTGTGACCCCGGGGGATGCTGCAACAGTCATAAGTGTAAAACATGGTCAGAAGTCACTTTTTTTTCCAGTGCCGTTGTAGCTCACTAAACGAAAGAAAGGGAGGAAGAGAAAGAGAAAAGGGGAGAGAGCAAAAGAGAAAGGGAGGGTGAGAGAGATTGAAAGAATGTGAAAGAGAGAAAGAAAGAGGAAGGGAGGGAAGGAAAGAGAAAAAAGAGAGGAAGTGAGGGAGAGATAAAAAAGAAGGAAGGAAGGGAAATGAGAGAAAGAAAAAGGGAGGGAGCAAAAGAAAGGGAGGGGAAGAGAGAGAGAGACAGAAAGAAAAGAGAGAAAGGGAAAGGAAAGGAGGGAGATAAAAAGAAAGGGAGGAAGGGAAAAAGAAAAAAAAATGTACTGGTCACTAAACGAACATTTATCAGTCAAAAGCTATCCTTATATACAGGTGAAACTCGAAAAATTAGAATATCATGCAAAGCAAGATAGTTCAAACCGTGATTTGTCATAATTGTGATGATTATGGCTTACAGCCCAAATCCACAATCTCAGAAAATTAGAATATTACATGCAATCAAAAAACAAGGATTGTACATAGAACAATATCGGACCTCTGAAAAGTATAAGCATGCATATGTACTCAGTACTTGGTTTCGGCCCCTTTTGCAGCAATTACTGCCTCAATGAGGCATGGCATGGAAGCTATCAGCCTGTGGCACTGCTGAGGTGTTATGGAAGACCAGGATGCTTCAATAGCGGCCTTCAGCTCTTCTGCATTGTTTGGTCTCATGTCTCTCATCTTTCTCTTGGCAACACCCCATAGATTCTCTATGGGGTTCAGGTCAAGCGAGTTTGCTGGCCAATCAAGCACAGTAATCCCACGGTCATTGAAGCAGGGTTTGGTGCTTTTGGCAGTGTGGGCAGGTGCCAAGTCCTGCTGGAAAATGAAGTCAGCATCCCCATAAAGCTCGTCTGCAGAAGGAAGCATGAAGTGCTCCAAAATGTGCTGGTTGACAGCTGCGTTGACCCTGGACTTAATGAAGAACAGTGGACCAACACCAGCAGATGACATGGCTCCCCAAATCAACACAGACTGTGGAAACTTCACACTGGACTTCAAGCATCTTGCAGTGTTTGCCTCTCCATTCTTTCTCCAGACGCTGGGTTTTGGTTTCCAAATGAGATGCAAAAGTTGCTCTCATCAGAAAAGAGGACTTTGGACCACTGAGCAACAGACCAGTTCTGTTTTTCGTCAGCCCAGGTAAGGCGCTTCTGACGTTGTTGTTCAGGAGCGGCTTGACAAGAGGAATACGACATTTGAAGCCCATGTCCAGGATCCGTCTGTGTGTGGTGGCTCTTGATGCGCTGACTCCAGCCTCAGTCCACTCCTTGTGAAAGTCCCCAACACTTTTGAATGGCCTTTTCCTGACACTCCTCTCCAGGCTGCGGTCATCCCTGCTGCTTGTGCACCTTTTTCTTCTACACTTTTCCCTTCCACATAACTTTCTATTAATACAGCACTTTGGGAACATCCAACTTCTTTTGCAATTACTTTTTGAGGCTTTCCCTCCTTATGGAGGGTGTCAATGATGGTTTTCTGCACAACTGTCAGTTCAGCAGTCTTGTCCATGATTGTGATTCCTACTGAACCAGACTGAGAGACCATTTAAAGGCTCAGGAACCCTTTGCAGGTGTTATGGCTTCATTAGCTGATTAGAGTGGGACACTTTGAGCCTAGAATATTGAACCTTTTCACAATATTCAAATTTTCTGAGATTGTGGATTTGGGGTTTTCCTGAGCTGTAAGCCATAATCATCTCAATTATGACACATCACAGCTTGAACTATCTTGCTTTGCATGTAATGAGTCTATCTCATATATTAGGTTCACCTTTTAAGTTGCATTACTGAAATAAATGAACTTTTGCACGATATTCTAATTTTTCAAGTTTCACCTGTAGTTGCTTGCATCTTGTATTGGGGAGTTCCACAGGCTGACGAGGCATTGAAATGCAGCTGGTCGTAAGTCAAGGACTACCTATCAGCTAAAGGAGATCCACCCCACCCCACCCCTATGTTAGCCATGTCCTCTTGGGGGAGTGGGTTCCCCTGATTCTTTGTGACCCTCCTGTTCCTCTATTCCCGTACACGATTTCTCTTGTGACCTCCGGACAGATCACGGTGAAGAATGAAGGACACTTTGTGATGTTGTTGGTCGACGGAGATGACCAACTCACCCTCAGCCATGTCTTCCACCCGATTGTGAACCAGCCCACCCCTCAGATGCGCATCGGAGTAGGCGGCTTGTTCATCTTGCCAAACGAATTGCTGGTCCCGGTAAGATGGATTCTTCTCCCTCCCCTGGTGTCTGTGCCCCAAGACCAAAAAACAGCCTAAGATCCCTGTTGGATTCCTTTTTACATGGTTTCATCAACCCTATCTTTTCTCTAAACCAGTGTGTCTCGAGCTTGGGAGCTTTAAGAATGGTGGACTTCAACTCCCAGAATTCCCCAGCCAGCCATGCCTGGTTTCCCCCCACCCGCCTTATTCTTTAAAGCGGAGAGATTGCAGAGAAAAGGATTATAAGAGAGTAAGCAGGCCACAATGAGTATACACATCAAAAGGAATGCATTAGTGCCAGGGAACTCTGGGAGTTGAAATCCACGCTTCTTAAGGCTCCCAAACTTGAGAAACCCTGCCCTAAAGTAAACCAGAACAATTTTATTCCTCTTGGTTTTATTCGCACAACAACCCTGCAAGGTAGGATGGGGGAATAAAGATAACGGATCCAGAGTCAGCATGGGAGAAAGGAGGATTTGAATTTGGGCCCGGCTCAGTCGAAACATGTAGCTTGAGAAATAGGCCCATCTAAAGTGGAAGGAAGGATAGAAAGAGAGATGGGTGGAGCGATGAATGGATGGAAGGATGAAATGAAGAATGGATGGAAGGAAGGAAAGATGAATGAAAAGGTTGGATGAATAAATGGAAGAACAGATGGAAGGGGAAGGAAGGACAGAAAGATAGATGAATGGAAGAGATGGATGGAATGATGGAAGGAAAAATGAATGTATGGAAGGATAGAAGGAAGGAGAAAAAGTTGGATGGATGGATGAAGAAATGGTCCAAAGTGGAGACTTGAGACAATCCTTAACCAAGGTCTGAGTGTAGAGCATCATGGGCCTATGAGTGCCAAGGACCCCTTCCCTGTGGGGTGGGGGGAGCCATAGAAGGTGCACTCAACCCTACCACCCCCACCCCCTAACCTGGTTTGTGGTCTCTCCTCCCATCCAGGATCTGATGGCCGAATTAGGTAACCAGACGGTTCTCCTGCTCCCTCTCCCCGAGGGGGGCTGCCTGGACACCCCCCTCCTCCTCCGCCTCACCCCCTCTTCCTTCACGCTGCTTCTGGGCAACACCGAGATCTCTAAGCCCACCCCCAAGGCTGAGTTCGAGAGCCTGCAGCAGCTCTGGCTGAGCAACATGGGAAGCCTGGTCATTGGGGGCGAATCTGGTACATCATGCTTGGAGGTTGCAATGGGGGTTAGCCTGACCTTAACTCCTGCTTAAAAGTGGGGTATAGGTAGGGCATCCCAAGTGGCTTGAATACATAGGTGGTATTTATCTGGTTTGGAGTGGTTCATACGAACCGGTAGTGGAAATTTTGACTGGTGTGGACAACTGGCAAATACCATCTCTGGCTGGCCCCTCCCCGCCCCTCCCCTTCCAGGAGTCCCCTCGTGCCCTGTTTTGGCTCCCAGGTAAGTGCAGGGAGGCCTACTAGGCCCAAAACGGGGCGCAGGGGGGATGTGGAGCCCCGCCCCCCAGTGGCCTGTTTTTGCTCCCAGGAGGCTGCAGGGAGGCCTATATTCTACTCCTATTCTAAGTCACCTTAAATAGTGACCTGAGCAGCATATAAATAAACAGTAAAAAATAATCTCACCCTGCAGAAAGGCTATATGCCTCTCCTGAATCTTGTGGCATGGAGTTCCCCAGGCTAATGATGGCATTGACATTTACCCTTGGGTAGGTTTCGAATACAGGTTGTCATCGACAGATGGATACAGCTGAGGCCAATCTTTCGGTGGCTAGGCGAATCCGCCGTTAAGCAAAGTTTGGCCCCCTTTTACGACCTTCCTTGCTGCCGTTGTTAAGCGAATCGCTGCCGTTGTTCAGTTGGTGACCCGGTCATTGAGTACATCTGGCTTCCCCGCTGACGTTGCTTTGTCAGAAGCGTTGCAAAAAGGGGATACACGTGACCCTGGGACGCTGCAACCGTCATAAATAGGAACCAGTTGCGCCGAGCATTTGAATTTTTGTAGCATCTTGTGGCAGGGAGTTCCACAGGCGAATGAGGGATTAAAATGCAGCTGGATTTCTATTCAGGTGGGTGTCTATTATTACTGACTCCTTTTTTAACGTCTTTTATTTCAGGAGAGGAAAAATCTCAGGAGGGTCATTTCTTCCAGGGCTGCCTCAGCGCGATCCGGGTTCAAGGCCACGAACTGGACTTTGATGAGGCTCAGTACCGGAGCAATTCAATCTTGGCGCACAGCTGCCCTGGGAGTGTGGAAGGCAAAGTCAACAGGGACAATGGGCGTTAAAAGGAGGGCGGTGCTACTGCATGCCCACGTACACCTGGACAATCTCCCAACACCTGGGCATGCATGTCTTTCGTCTCCCCTTGCCCTCCATGAACATGTGCGGCGATGACTTTAAGTTCCCGTAGCCACAACATTTGGGCAGGGGTGTGTGATTGTTGATTGTGTGGCTGCTGAACGGCATGGGTGCCAAGCCAGCTTGTGGTTGTGTTTGACGGACAATTGTGGGAATTGTTAGTGAAGGTAATCTCCTATGGACTCCCAAGTTTACTTGGCAACTTGCAGAATTAAGTATCTCCTTTTTTGTATCCACGAATGTTTGTCGACCGTGGGAACTTTAAGATGGGTGGACTTCAACTCCCAGAATCCCCCAGCCAGCATTTCAGTTTCCCATTTAATTCGAATATATCAGTTTTCCATTTAATTGTCACGCCATCTCGCTTACCTTCAAATTGTTTACTAATGTAGCTTGTTGTGAGTTTTTTTTCTCACTTTTCTGAAGTCAAGGTATATTATATCGACCACATTCCCACCGTCTATTAAGAAAGTTATCTAATTTTAAAAAAACAATAAAGGTAGTGTGTAGACACAATTTTTAATTGTCCTATTTTAAATCTAGTCTGTTGGGATCAGTGGTGGGATTCAAATTTTTTTTACTACCGGTTCTGTGGGCATGGCTTGGTGGGCGTGGCAGGGGAAGGATACTGTAAAGTCTCCAGTCAGAGGTGGTATTTGCCGGTTCTCCGGACTACTCAAAATTTCCACTACTGGTTCTCTAGAACTGGTCAGAACCTGCTGAATACCACCTCTGGTTGGGATGCTTTGAAGTCAGATCTAGGTTTGGGATAGTGTTTTTCAACCCTGGCAGCTTGAAAAACGGGTGGACTTCAACTCCCAGAATCCCCCAGCCAGTATTTCAGTTTCCCATCTAATTCTCATGCCACCTCTTTTACTAATTTAGCTTGCAATGGGTTATTTTTTTCTCTCAGTTTGCTGAAATCAAGATATATTACATTGACCGCATTCCCACCATCTATGAAGAAAGTTACCCAATCAAAAAATACAAAATAGTCGGGCCACATTTATTCTTGTCCTATCCATGCTGAGTTCTGGGAAGACCTTTTCTGGCTGGGGAATGCTGGGAGTTGAAGCCCACCTGTCTTAAGTTTCCCGTGGTTGAGAAATATTGGTTCAGGTTGATCCGGATTTGAGGGCCTGCCACCAAGCTGGTGCTAGTAGATTTCTTGTAACCTGTAGTAGCAACGTCTGTGTTCACGTTTCCTGGAAAAAATTAATCATCATCGTACTAAGTAGAGAGTGAGTCGCAAAAATTATCCTGGCCTGGGTGAGGCATATAATTCAGATAGAAAGCACAACTTGTAAATGTGATGACCCGTATTCTCTCAAAATAACCCCAAACCCAAAACATACATTAAAGTCCGGTAAGGCCTTCAACTTAACTTCACTGTTTTATTAGGCACAGTTTAAAGTCACAAAAGTAAATAATGAGGCAAAAAGAAAACCAAAACAAACTGCATTGATGAGAGTTCCAAAGCAAGCCAAGTTAATTAATCATACATTCCAGGAAGATAAGGGAGGAGAGTCCATGGGAAGAATGCCAGCAAAGATAAACCTCTTTCAAAGTAAATATTAAACTTTGACTCCAGCAATTCTGACTGCGCAGTTACAAACTTATATACATAGCTCCCGGCTGCAAGCCACGAGGAGGATCATGATAATCTCCTCCTGAGTAGACCTCGCTTTTCCCTGATCCTCTCCTCCCTGCGTGACCTA